ATTAATAGGATGTCCACAGCGAAAGCTGTCCCGACATAATACATTTGTCAGCTACATCAGCTCTGTTGTGCTGCCCCAGACTCAAATCAGAGGGTGCTGATATAAAGTGACCGTGCAAACCTCTGCATCCACTTCCAAAAACAATTTTTATTTTCCTTTTATAGCATAGATTGCTGCTAAGTATATTGATAGAAACAACAGAAATTTAAAATTTACATAACATGTCCCTACCTATCCAACAATGTTCAGTCAGGTCATTTGCCGGTCAAAGCAGATGGCCGCTTGTCCTGAGCCTGGTTCTGCTGCAGGTTTCTTCCTGTTAAAGGGAGTTTTTCCTTTCCACTGTTGCCACTGTGCTTGCTCAGGATGGAAGACTGCAACGAAGCCAAGATTCAACTTTGCTGGATTCCTTAGATAGAGAACTTTACTAATTGGTTTTTTTATGTGCGTGAGTGTTTTTGTAAAGTGCCCTGAGACAACATTGTTGTGATTTGGCGTTATATAAATAAATTGAATTGAATGTGGATGGTTTCTTTTTTTTTTTTTTCTTTTTTGTGCCAAGATGTTTCGCCCTTGATCCAGAAGGCTTCACACTGTAAACCCAAATAAGTAATCATTACTAAAACCGTTTACGGTAAGTGATTGCACTGGGATGTCCAGTTTTTACGAAGTCTAAAACAAAACAAATCAAGCTCTGTTTACATTAAGTCTTGTGTCCAAGATAATCCATTACTAAAAAACTCAAGTTTTTAAAACCAATGTTTATGAGTAATTAACTCAACTATTAATCATGTATATCAGTAATCATTACTCATGATGATCAGTGTTCATTTATCATGTTTTTTAGTTAGAATTATTAAATGTAAATTATTATCATAATCAATTAGATTTTTTTAACATTACACAATAATTGTCTGTATATTACCTGATGTTCCTTACATAAAAATGACGATTCTATTTATTTTTCACAAATTTATTGCAAAATTAGTGCAAGAGTAACATTTTAAACATGTAAATCTTAGTAAACATTTCACCATGTTAAAGATTTCAAACATAAATACAAAACTAAATCTGAAAAACAAAAAGGTTAATATCGTGTGCAAAGGGAAACATGCTTGCACAACATCTTTATCATTTACATCATTAATCTGGTCAAAAGACTACATGAAACTCTTGAATGGCTCCGACAGTTAAATTGCCTAATAAGAATGAGCGTCCCTACAGTTCTTTTATCAAAGTTTTTTCAGTGTGTAAACATAACCGGCCCACACATTACAACACTTGCTCACATTATGTTTGTATTGTAAAGATGGCTATACAAACTGAACTTCAGCAGTAAAAACGCTAAACTTCTAGCTGCTAAATAATACTACTAATTAAAAAAAAAAACCTCCATCAAACCAAAAATAGAGCACATGCACCATTTTACACAAGTAGTTGATTTTTCAGTGTTTGAATTCTTGGCTTACACTCAGTACTTCCCAAATGAAAAAATATCTGTTGAATGAACAGGAGGGTATTTATGATTTTCTTGGGGTAGTTCAGGTGGAGGCCATATGCGAGCCCGAAAAAGAAACCCACAGCTTCTGGCAGGGTCATCGGCTTTTCCACAACAACTTCACCCTCAATGACGATTTTCAGGCTGGCCGGGTGAAGATCTGATGTTGGGGGAGAGACACCTTCAGGTGTCACAACAAGATCCCAACGTCCATTGGGCCAAAGGACTCATCACCATCCTAAAGATAAACAAAATAAATGATTGCCAGAAATATAACCATCAGGGAATAAAATTGATGAACTACAACAGACCACCATGAAGAATTGCAGAACAGGAATTGTATGAAATGCAATTCATGCTAACATGATGATAACTACTATTTGGTCGTATTTTCAAAATCTCTATCAATAAACATTGTAAAATCAATATTGGTCTAGAGGACTATTTGAGGGATCTTCTTGGTCACTGGATGGAAATAGATCTTGTGACATTGCAGAAGCTTATTGAAACAATGGCACAGCGAAGGCATGATGTAATCAAAGCTAAAGGCGGTCCAACAAAATATTAGTGTGTGACCTTTATTTGGTGGCAACTTTTTTTTGGCCAGGCAGCGTATGAAAACATACAATGAAAAAAAAAACAACAACAAAAAAAACAGGGATATGTTGCTACAGCAAAATGTTACAATAATATCTAAACTGCATTATGAAACTGACAATTGACTAAAGCAGAAAAACAAAAGTTTTACAAAATCTAGCTGTCTTACAGTTGTCTACAAAAACTACTATCTTTGATCTGCAGACAGGCCTCCATCACTGCTGGCTTGTTCAAATTATACAATAAACATCAAATTATAAAAGTTGCAATTACAAACAAAATGGATACTTACAAAACTAGATTTGAAGAACTCCGTAGGATTGTCTCCAAGTAGGTGAGTCAAAATTTCCATAAGACGGGTAGTGTGATCATCAAGGGCAGAATAAACTTCCTGCAGCAGGTCTTTTCCCACAATCCTTTTGAATTCCAGATAAATCTTTTAAAAAAATCAACTAAACAGTCTACCAAGCAAAATTCACTACAGCCCAGGAATCATCGTAATGCTACAAAACCAACAGCCCTTGGTTTGAATGTTCACTGTCGAAGTTTAAAAAAATAAAATAAAGCACATGTGGTAAATTATTCTGTACAAAACAGAAAGCTAACGTAAAGCTAACTGCTAATAGCATTAGCTATCTGTGAGAGGCAGTTAGCTTTTGTTAGCTGCAGGCATTAACTAATCCATCCAGTCCCAAAAGAATAACACAGATTGATCGACTAGCTATAATGTAGGGCAAAAATGATACCATTGACACTCCGGTGAAATATTGTAGCTAACGTTAATGTGAGCATGACAAAAATGTTATTTTACCCAGCAAGTACACCTACTGTATTATGAATCAAATGTGTGCACTAACATATGTCAATAAACTGTTACATCAACCAGACTGACCTGATTTCCCCACTTCATCACATTAATGACATATGTAGCTAGCAGTCAGGACAAACATGCACTGGGCTCACTGTTCTTCTTCTTCTTCTTTGTTACCTGGCAGGTGTTCACTGACAAGCCCCGCCCCAAACCGGTAAAAACATGTCAATGAGAGTTGTCTCCTCTCAGAGCCATTAGTACAGCAAACACTCATTTTGAGTAGTTTACAGTTCACAATTTGTTTAGTAATGGTCCCGCCTTTTGCAAAATAACGAAAAGATTAGTAATTATAGCTTGACTTATAATGTCAAATAAAATGTGGGTTTACAGTGCATCAACCTGAGGAAACACCAAACATAACTGATATTCCCCCAGCAGCCTACTCCAAAGTGGAACAAAACCCCATGTACCTACTTGTACTATCAATATACCTACCACATTTGCTGTGTAAAATAATTATTAACATCTTGTACACCGTAATTCAACAAATGTTTCAACAATGTAAACTTTTTCCTAAACGTTCCAGTTCTGCACATTATTTTTTACCTTTATAATTTCAAATGATAGCACACTGGGAATGTACATGAAACAAAATAAACGTGAAGTATTTTGTATTAAGCATAAAGTGTGTATGTGTGTGTATTTTATGTGAAGACGGCCTTGCACCCTTGTATCTCTCTGACCTACTTCAACATGTTCCTTCTCTGGCACTGAGATCATCTGATCATCTGCTTTTGGTTGTTCCAAAATCCAGGTTGAAGCTCAGAGGAGATCGGGCTTTTTCAGTCATGAACCTTAAACTCTAGAACAGGGGTGTCAAACTCACTTACAAACGGAGGCCAAAATGAAAACCTTTTTCAAACTAAGGGCTGGTTTCAGAATCTACATTAACTCAAGTTAGATACCAAACATCTGTTCTTGGTTGAAGGTTCCTCAGCAAGAGTTTGATTGGTCTCATTTTACCTTTTCTGTTGCATTTTTGACATCATAATCAAAGATTACTGAAAAAAATTAAATTGATACAAGTTTTTTACATTTAAAATAACATCTTGGGGACCAGATAAGATGTTAAGGAGGGCCACATTTGGCCACCGGGCCTTGAGTTTGACACATATGTTTTGTTTTTCTTTTGATGCTTTTAATTAATTTTCAGTTCTATCATTACTTTTAATTTTCCCATTAAATCACTCACATTGATTTTTATTGTTAAGCACTAATGGCTGCTGTTTTAAATGTGCTTTATAAATAAAGTTGACTTGACTTGAAGACATTTTTTTTTCATTCAACCTTTAGGTTAATCCCATTGAGCCTCGAGGACTCATTTACAAGAGACCTGATTTCAACAAAGACTGATGAAAACAATGGACAGTTACAAAAAGGCATACAGATTTTTTATTTTACAAATAAGATGCAAAAAAAGTAACAAAAAACTGCCATAAGGCGAATGTAGAAAACTAAAAACAGGAACATGTTACATTACATTTTTTGTTAGGGGAAAAGTTGTTGCCTTTTGTGTGAACCTGTAAATAAAGCCATCATTTAAAAAGATTTATTTAAATTGTATTTGGTCACAGACAACAAACCGCATAAAAACAGACGCACAAACCATCCAGCTGTCTTCAGACTTTTAAAAAATGCCGGCAGATTTGGCCGTACATGACGCAATCACGCACGGTGACCGGATTGGTCATTACTCCATCAGGGGGCGTGTCACGTAGACTCTCATTGGTTGCTGTTTTAAATATCCTCGTTGTGATTGGCCAGTCGATTCTCCTGAACATTTGAAAGCGTGAAACAGAGCAGCTACTCCTCCGAGAAACAAAGTCAGCATATTCTCCATTTATTCCCTTTAAAGGTAAGACTGGCGAAAGATTTTGCTGTTTATTTTGTTATATCACGAATTTTAATTGTAACAGAACACAACAATGTTAATGAAGTAGACTTGTTTATCCGCTGCCGTGTTTGTGCTCACGCGTTTTAAATGGACTCTTCATGTGATTAAAACAAATGGCAGCGAGTTTCTCCCGGACTGAGATGTTGTCAGCGGAGGACGGGGCCCAGCTGCGGTGCTGTGTGACGGTGGAGCAGCTGGACGGCTCCGGACAGGCCGCCCGGAGGCAGATCATCCGGAAAGCCTCCGTCGTTCTGGGCCGCAATGAGTTCCAGGAGCTGGTCCTCCGGGTGCAGGACGGGGCGGTGGCGCACTCTTACCCCCTGAAGGACTTCCGCCTCTTCACCAAGTTCGCGGGCGACGGGAAGTGCACGGTGAGGCTGCTCCCCGACAACACCCAGCTGCTGATCTCCAACTGTCCGCCCGACCGGGTCAGGCTCTTCCTGAAGACGCTGAGCATCAAGCACCAGGCCGGGCTGAGCGGCAAGCCTCTGAGCCACCGGGACAAGCTGCGGGCCGCCCTGCCCCGCAGCTTCGACACCGTCAGCCCCCTGCAGCAGAAGGACCTCCAGCACGTGCACGAGCTGCGGAGCAGGGCGGAGGCGGCCGGACAGCTCAAACGGTCCCGGAGCCACTGCAGCTCCAGCCCGGTGAGTCCAGCACGGCTCTGATCAGCCTCACGTGCGCGTTTCACCGGAGAAAACCCAGCGTGCACGGAGAGAACAAACCAGAAAGGTCCCGGGCGGGGATTTGAACCAGCGACCTTCTTAAGGTTGCATAACTCGACCAGCTGCGCCACCGTGCCAAAGCCAACTGAGCTTAAAAACACGAAATGACTAAAGCTCTGTTCTTTTTACAGATATAAATATTCAGTTTATTTATTTCACTTTTATTTATACACTCATGTTCAAGAGTTACCTGTTTGGGAGTGGGTGGGTGGGTGGTGTTAAGGGCCTTGCTCAAGGGCCCAGAGTGGGGCAGATGAAGGTGGAGGCAGGTGTGGGTGTTTCATCTTTTTCCACCCACATTTTGATGTTGACAGTCAGGGGAGCTGAACCGTCGACCTTCTGATCACAGGCCCACCTTCTCTAACCACTGCACCACCGCTCTCCAGTTTGATGTGGTAGTATCTGAGACGATTCCCAGCACACTCACTAAACACTCACAGTTTGTGCACGAGCTCTTTACATTAATTTTTACCATGAACTATTTAGTGTTCACATTTATTGTCTGTTAGCAAAATATCTCATGAACCACTCTTCGGATTTTAATTAAACTTTCAGGAAACAGTCACTGGATGTGCGTCTACGACTGATAAACTTTTCGAGTGAACTCGATTCAAGATGGCCACCACAGACAGCTGAGTGTAGAAAATGCAGAAGTTACTATAATTTAGTGCATTTTACAAATATTGTGTTACATTTTAGTGAAGTTGTAGCTGAGAGTCTTTCACAAAACGTACTCCTAGTGCTGCTCATTGTGTCTGCTTAAAATGTTAGCATTCACTGAGTTTGGGGCGGCACGGTGGCTCATTTGGAAGAGATGCCTTCTCTCAGCGTGAAGGTCACCTGATCGAATCCCAGCCAGGGGCCTTTCTGGGTGGAGTTTGCATGTTCTCTCCGTGCATGCGTGGGTTTTCTCCGGGTACTCCAGTTTCCTCCCACAGACCAAAAACATGCATGTTAGACTGATGGTAACTCTAAATTGTCTCTAGGTGTGAGTGAGAGAGTGAATGGTTGTTTGTCTCGTTTGTCTCCATGTGTCCCTGTGATGGACTGGAGACCTGTCCAGGGTGTCCCCTCCCCCTCGCACAGTGACCGCTGTGTCACCACTGTGACCTGACAAAGAAGAAGCAGGTAAAACATAATGGGTGGATGAAGGTTTGAGTTTGTCTGTTAGCAAAATATTGCACAAAGCGCTGAATGGATTGTAATAAAACGTTCAGATTGTAATCACTGGATGAACTTCCACGACTGATTAACTTTTGGAGTCAATGCAATTCAAGTTGGCTGCCACAGCTAATGAAACGAGACGAAATGAGCTAGAAAACAGTCAGTTTTACAAAGAACGAGCTGAAAATGGATCGTTCTCTCCACACTCTACTCTTGGCATAACATCTCACAACAATGCATGATGTCACAAAAAGTTATTTTCAAGGTTTGTCCATAATGGCCACAACTCCACACACAGCAAGTGCACCTGAAGGTGGCGGGCGACATGCATCCCTGAGTTTTATTCAATCATGGAAGCTCTGAGAAGATCTTGCTGTTGCATTATTAACCACTTCACTTCCTTCAGCCTCCTATTTCCTGCAGCTCCCTGGAGTTGAAACATTTATTCGAGGTTTGTTGGTGTTTCAGGTGAAGGCCACCCCCAGGAAGAGGAGGCCCGTGTTGTCTCTGCCGGCGCGCAGGCTCACCACAGAGCAGGCTGCAGTCCTCAGCGCCGTGCTGAGCGGCAACAACGTCTTCTTCACTGGAAGTGCAGGTAAAACTGTGAACACTCGTAAATGTGGCACCATCTCACTAAATCATCCGCCCCATCTGACTGATCGTCCCATAAATATGAGCGCGTTTGCCTGCGTACCGTTAGCAAAATATCTCATGAATAACTGAAAGGATTTTAATGAAACTCAGAAAGTCATTACAGCCTCCTCATCTACAACTGATTAAATTTCAGAGTCGACCCGATTCAAGTTGGCCACCAAAGCTAGTCAACCATCGCACACTGCGCTGTGGTTTGAGGACAGCTGTGGCTGAGTGGTTAGACCAGTCGTCCTCCAGTGGGAGAGTTGAGGGTTCAATTCCACCAGCAGTCACATGCTGAAGTGTCCCTGGGCAAGACACTGAACCCCTCACTGCCTCTGATGTGTCCCATCAGTGTATGAATGTGATCTAAATCAGGGGTTCTCCAACTTTTTGGGTTCAGGGACCCTCATGTTTATTAAATCATTTTATTCAATTTGTCTCTTTAATGCAATGAAATATTTGTGTAACATAAATGCTTAAAACCTGTTCTTTATTAGTGTTAATATAATTTTTATACTTTTAAACATGGGGTATTTTCATTCAAGACACAATTAATTAACAACATTTTTTAAATTTTAACTTCCAAAAAAATTACAGTTTTGAGAAAATTAACAGAATCAAAAACCAGTTCAAGACATCACTTATTCACTTAATGAACATAATAAATGTATCACCACGTCTTCAAATTATTATTATTTATTTATTAACCTCTATTTAACCAGGTAAATCCCGTTGAGATCACAGGGAGACCTGAGCCTGAAGGCAGAACGTGCATGTTTTTAATCACTGGGAGGAAACACGAGTACCCGGAGAAAAACCACGCAAGCACGAGAAGAACATGTAAACTCCACACAGAAAGACCCCAGGGGTCTGGGGGTCGTCCCCCAGAGAATTTTGAATAAAGTAGATGTGATTTCCTGCAGTTTGTTGTATTTTAACAGGTTGTTAAACATCTATGTGCTTGTAAAAATAATAATAATTATTATTGTTTTTTTTTTTTGTCAAGCACCGGTTTGCGGATCCGAGGACCTCAGTTTGAGAACCACTGATCTAAAGTGCTGATTACCAGTAGTCTCTACAGATTCATATTCTTTGTATAGATCTAGTAGAGTTCTGTATGAATGGGTGGATGAAGCACAGATTATGTTGTAAAGAGCATTGAGTATCCTGATCAGATAGAAAGGAGCTGTATAAGCACAGTCTATCTATAAAAATGTCTATAAGTTAATGAGTTTTACAAATATTGAGCTAAAATGTGGTAGTAGCTGACAGTCTACGTTCGTGTTACTACATGAATGTGTGTTCAGCACAGACTGATCATGTTCGCATCGATCCTGCAGAGGCTGAATGATTAGATGTGCTGATGAGGCGGACTGATGCGTTCAGGAGCCTCTGTTTTTACTCCATTATGCTCTGAGAGCCGAATCTAACAGTTAAATCAGGTCCTCTGGATGGAGTCAAACTAAATAATACAAACTTGAAACGTTTCGTCTTTAATCAAAAAGATGTCTTCAAAGACGAAATTAAGGATTTGGATTAAAGACGAAACGTTTCAACAAGTTTTTTTAAATTTTTTATAGTTTTGATTCCATCCAGAGCAGCTGACTTGACTTAGATTTTTCTACCTGGATTACTGAGCATGAATCAGGAGAACTGTGAGCTGAACTTTGCTCAGTAACACGCGTGTTATTCAGCTGAACTTTGC